TCATTGAGATTCGGCTCCAAAGGAAAATGTCACATCAGCGACTTTAGTCCAACTTCACCAAATCGCTAAACAAGAGAGGTATAGCTCATTTCATTTACGCGTTTGAATGATGCGAGGCGTGTGTTTATAAGTTACTAGCTGGCTTGCCCGGCTCCGCCCAGCCCTGTCAAAACACTATGATAAAGCTCCCATTCCTATCCCTGTACAACCTTTCCGGTGCCCACTTCTACATACCGACTCAAACTCCCTATTCCCGCTGTGTTAGTTATCAGCATGCTCACTTATCCCTGTGCGGATTCCCAGCCCAGCTCAAAATTTATAAAAAAAACGATAAAATCAATAAAAATGGATAATTCTAAAAACTAATATTGTATTCGTAATCAGCATGCTCGATTACCCCCTGTGCCAAATCCCAGCCCCGGGTGAAGTCCGCAAAAAAATCGATAAAATCGCTAAAAGGAACGGATAATTTCAAAAACTAATATTGTGTTCGTAATCAGCATGCTCGGTTCGCCCCTCTGCCAACACACAGCCCTGTAGCTCAAACTTTGCAAAAAAATCGAAAAAATCGATAAAAGTAATGGATAATTCTTAAAACTAATATTGCATTCGTAATTAGCATGCTTGACTACCCCCTGTGCCAAATCCCAGCCCCGGTGAACTCTGCAAAAAAAATTGATAAAAATCGATAAAATCGATATCGATCGATGACAAAAAGTGGCCTCTGACACCCGCCCGGCCCCGGAGTGTATGTGTGCAAAGTTTGGTCCAAATCGGTTCAGAAATGGAATTTTCTATTCGGAGCATACGTACAGACAGATAGACTAACATACACACAGGCAGACAGACAGACAGACAAACTTACAAACAGACATACATTCAGCTTTATATAGAAAATTTTGTTCAAAACATACCGGTTGCTTCTATCGATTTATTGATTTTTGCGGTTTTTGCTTTGAAAAGTTTTCGCCGGCTCAAACTTTTTGAAAAAATCATGGGGTCTGAATCGAACGCATACATGGGCTTTGGGGGCGGACGGGTGCCAATGAGCTTTTATCAAATAGTCTAGTTTCGCTTTTGATTCATTGACTTCCGACGATTTTTGCCTAGCAGATTTGTTATGACTGACCCAGTATGCTAGAAATTATGAGATCTGAACCAAACTTCGAATACATAAACTTTAAACAGGTCTTTTGTTAGTAAGCTAGATCCACTAATATAGGTTTATCGGTTCTTTTTACTTTATGATTCTGCGGCTAAAAATTGACGAGAGGGAAAGTATAAGTAGGCATCTATTATAATTACAACAACCTAATTCAATTATTGACTTTCTCTATATATTCATAAATTTTTTGCACCTAACACTCTCGATAACTGACTGATATTTGATTAAGCATTAATTCCTTCCTCAGCGGGACTCATCGACCAGCTAATTTCATCGACAAAACCAGAAATGTCACTTACCCACAAGATCAAACATGACCCATATCAAGCCAATGACAATTAACACCCTTATATCTCACCTATCTTTTATTTATACCATGACGCCATTCTCACGTGCTGTACCTCCTTTGAATGCTTCCACTTCCACACCGTGATACTTATTAACCCCCCACAGCATGGGACACATAGAGCCTTTCTATGTTGTTAACTGTGCATTGTCTGTTGCTTAGAATATTAACTTGATTCAATTGGAAGAACAAAAGTGTCCTCATCCTCGATCTACATAGGTTGAACCAAGCAGTTTCGTGCAAACTAACAAACTCACTAGCAAATTCTTACATTTGCACAATACAAAGTGGAACGAAACATATACGGGGCAGCGAAACTACCGAGTACCAGTCGAACCTGCTGCGTAGCGGCAGAGAGTGGGCTGGTACAAATACATAAAACACATGAACCATGCGCTAGTGATTTCAGATTTTTCTAAACTGTTGTTTATAGTTTCCGAAATCTTTTCTTCGGAGATCTCGTTTTTGGTAAAATCACACAATTATCTCAGAAACATGGAAACGTTTGAAGTTTCTGCGAGTTGAAGCCTGATTGTCATCATCTACTTGTACAAAACAGTCCTTGGATTTTCCGATACGCTCATGCGCTACACGTGTTTAAAAAGTCGGAATTTCCAGGTAAACAACTGTCACAGGTTTGAAAAAATCGATCTAGTCAGGCGAAGATGAGTAAAATGTAGCGAAACTTACTAGCGCTTTTTGCAGTGCGTGGATAACACTTTTAAACATCAGAGGAAGTTTGACACCGCTTCAGATGCTCAAAGAGCCATGGCAATAACTTCGCAAAGACAACATAGATTAGAGAGAAAATGTAGCTATCGAAAGAGTATGAAAGTCTGAATCAAGTGATAAAAGTCAAAACGGACAAAACTTTTGGGACAACTTGGTAACTGCAAACCTTTGGAAGTAGAACTCTGAACCCTATCATCGAAAGAGCATGGCCCGTAGTAAACCCCCCTTCGGTGCAACTCGGCTGGGGCGGGCCTAAGTTGAACGTAGTACGACTCAGTCTAACATCCAGCAAGCTATTGATTACGATGCGGATCGTTTCTAGACGTAAAGATCTGTGCGTTCTCAAAATGTTTGGTCGGGCAGCTAAGCGATTCAACACGCGAAGCCACGGTTCGAGGCTCACTAGCGGTGAACTTTTGGCATCGATGGCCAATCTTTGATAGTGGCCACTATGACGAAAATCGCTATCAAAGATATCGCCTGTCAAACGAATAGATAAAACAAAACAAACATATTTTAACGAGAATTTCAAAAAACAAACTTTCGGAACATATATAGGATCCTACTATAATAACGCGCTAAGGCCGTCTGTTTTTTTGTGTGTCTGTGTGTCTGTGTGAAAATCTGTCTGTCACGAAATTCATAGCGCGATTTCCAGCCAACCTCCTGGGCTCAAATTTTGCACAGCGCATGCTACCCGCATGAAAGTCCAACACGCAAAAGCACGAGCAGATTCGTTGGGTGGATCCTTCAGAGACTGCGCGTCAAACGGATCCACTTTGCATTTGGGCCGCAAAATTGGGTCCGTAATTCCACTTTTTGTGGAGTCGTGGATGTTTATGCCAAGTAAATGAGCGAGCCATGAACTTAAGCCCAAAAAAGTGATCAAAAGTCCATTACTTTACAAAAACGGCGCCAAAAAGTATCGGTTGCGTAAATGGTCAATTTGCCAAGGTTTTACCAGAGCATTTGACGAGATTTTTGCACAGAGATGTAGTTCACAGTGACTGCTGTTCTTATCGCAAGTGTCGAGACCATGGGAAAATCAAAAACCTATAAAAATTTGCGTCTGTTTTCCTGCAAAAAGTCTCATCCACGCGAAATCACCGATTTCACATAAAAAAGCTTTCGGAATGAGTAGTTGTTTACATTTTGTTCGTGATAGTCGGCATCGCTCGGTGAGTACCAATGCCATCATTATACTAGAATGAGTAGGGCCTAGATAGTAGAGCCAGTGCGAGCCTCTGCGAAGCAGAGGTGACGCACTGGTAAATAAATAAATAGATTCTTGTTTAATGCAGCTTTTTCGAAAAGAGTAAGCCAACTTTGCAGAAAAAAAAGAGAAACATTTTCCCTTGCTTTCCTCCCCGCAATCAGCTTGTTCATTGATCCTCTGCCATTTAGCTCCCGAAATGGTGCAATTTGAGAGTTCTGCACCGCAACAGTATATCGCGGTGTCCCGTTAGTTATTCAATAGCAACTTATGGTGCTTTTCTCTAATTCTCCGCCTAAGCACACATTCTACGGCGGTTCCCTCCCAATTCACCCTTACCATCGACTCCCGGATTGCAGCAAGGGGCGAACTCGGGCGAGCGTATCAGGGATGCAGTTGCCCTGTGTTGAAACATAGCTGATATGATTATCGGTTGACCATCCGACTACCCTCGCAGCAATGGGGGAGCCGATGGTAACTTATGGTAGCGCGGCAAAGTCGCTGCCGCAGTTGACCGGCCGATTAACTGCCAGTCCAGGTGGCCATTCCAAAACATGGGACGATGGGCGGTTGTCATTCAACTGACGAATGTGAGAATTAGGGCTTCAGGGTTTACCACGCGATAATGTCCCGCAAAAAGCGAAAAAAACCACATTTTCGTATTTTTAGCAGCTTTTTTCCTTCTATCCTTAGCAAAATCTAACGAATATATTTATGCACTTTACTATGTGTCTTCTATATGATGACCAGGTGAGAAGCTACTGAGATTTTAGGCGGAAGTCCGATTTTCTGAGAAATAAATTATTTTTGGTTTTTGGCTTCCATTTGAGATACCACAAATTCTTGAATAGGGTAGTTATCTTGTAGAGCTTGCTCAGCTCTTACAATCTACTGCAATTTATTTTACTGCAGTTTACTGCATTTACTTTTCGAAACGCAAAATGCGGTTGTCGGAAGGAAACTCATTACTTTTGCATCTGATACTTACATTTTTGGGCATTTTGAAACACATGAGCGCGCGTGGAACGCCGTCTTCATTGCAGCAGAGATGAAGTTTGCGTACGGGTCACACGCTTACACTGTACGTGCACACGGGCTGTGTTCGCATTGCAAGAAGGGCCAGGGGATTTTTTACATGGTTCCGCGCGATGAGATGACTGACCGGTCGTGGTCAGCCCGGCGGACAAGTTCCTGACGCACTGAATGGACGTTCCGACTCATCGGCTTCGGATATTGCAAGAAAACCTGCTATTGTACACGCATACCCAAATGTGTAGATGTGTGCGGATAATCCGCCTCTTGTTCGCACTTTTCTCTAGCACTAGCACACTCATTTTATCATTCCTAATCTTTGAGCTTAACTCGATGTCACGTGTAGATAAGAAATTTTTTTTATTGCCACAGCTACTTATCTTAAGCTAGATCACATTTTTGTAGCTCTTTTTTCCTCATTACGCAAAATAAACCCGCTACTGAGCACAATCACTGAGTTTATATCCGAAAGTCAGCTTTCAAGAGAATTGCTTCTAACCACTGCGTTGAAAATGCGTCTCAGCTAAAACATACGTTGTGATGTTATCCTATTTCTCTTGCTATATTTAGATGGGTTCAATGTTGGCGCTGCTGTTGCTTGCATTTTGCTCGTCCATAGGTCAGTCTCTATAATTGCTTAGTCTCACAATAAATACCTGCACACAAAACATAGATGGACAACTCAGCGCTATGTTTGGAAATCCCATCCAAGCCCCAAATTGTGAGTCGTGGTCTGAATGGGGACCCTGTGTGTGGCTGAAGGGTAAAGAGAAAAGGTAAGACCACCGAATTGTTACTGTTAACCCTGTATCACTCGAATGCAGGTATCAACGATCGTATTTTGACCAACTACTACCAGGACGAAAAGGTTGCCGCAATCATGTGTTTTTTCGACTTCTGAAGGACCGCTGGGGAGTGGTAAGTGTTTCTTTTAAAAAATTTGGACAGCTTGCTTGTGGATGCAGATCAACCATCAAGCTGTCCGAAAATGCATCCCCCATTTCTTCTTTACACTCAGCAGTCTCAGCGGCCTTTGCTAAAGAGGCCGATGGAAATCACGAAATTCGATATAATCTTCGCGAATCTTGAATTACTGACCCGTAAAAACGATACGGCAAAACATTTCGTTGAACCCTGCTTGTACGAGATCTGGGAGATAATGAGAACATGCTGACCGATCACTTGTGAAGAGCATGCTGCGCCGATTTCAAATGATGAGATTGCGGTAATCATACCATGAGAACTGGTGAAAGACGAGTTCATATCAGTATGCTAAACGTCCTAGAGTTTCAAGACGCATATGCGGGAAAAATTATGAGAGGGATTGAATCTACTAATGTTTGGTCAATCTAGAAAAACTTTTATAGGTTTTTTACACAAGGTTTTCAAATTCATTAGGTTGATGCAAAACTAATGGCCGATTCTCTAAGCCCTTTTCAGGGCAACTTTTTCCCATCAAAATTTCTTTTTTGAAACACATTTAACAAAACATGGAGAAGCTGCTCTCATGCTCTATCTAGTGGTGGTTAAAGCGGTCTTCCAACCTCATCTGTTGTAAAGTTACTGAGCTTCAAATAACCGCATTCGGATTCAGAATTTTATTGCAAATACTTTTTGGCCAGAATTTGAACGCTTATGGAAGGCGCTTTTTCAAAAATTTAGCTGATATGCCATAGAAATTGCCTACATCATGCGTACTCAACTGTATTTTTTAAAGTTTTCCAAAGTGAGATATCGGCGCCTCAACATGGGTAGCCGTTGCGGTCATTTTATGACCCACAAATTTCTTTGAAGAAGTCAATCGCTAAAGCTTTGCTCAATTCTGTTAACCTGATGGGCATCCTATTAGCACTTTTTGCAAAATCATCCAGCTGTCCAGTACGCAGAAATTCACAAAGTTCTACGTTTGGGACTTTGAGGCATACTAAGAAAATATTGAAAAAACTGACAATCTCAAAATCTAATTTTTTCTTTTCGCAAGTTCTTATTCTCCAAACACTTTTTATGGTATTTTGTACTACTGGCTTGCGGCTACCAGATAGGCCACTTATTATCCATAATGACGAAGCTTGTTATCCATAATAACGAAGCTTGGAGGAAGTTATGAATTGCCAAAAACCATGTAGAAAAAAGTTTGTTGTTTGTTAATTCAATTTCTGCCCGTTTGTGATTTGAGTACAAGTAAAAGTACATTGCATTGAAATAGGTTTGCTGCTTCTGATGGTTTTCACCGCATTCAGAAATGTGGATTTTTCGAAAAGTTACAGCGCGTCAAAGTGAGAATGCGCAGAACGGCCATTACCTTTGCATCAACCCAATATTTGAATTTTACTAATAAAGGTTGAATCTTTTGCGCGCCAGTCACTCTCACAGTATCTTCTCATGCCACTCTTCACATTTCAGGCCTTCAACAATTTCTACAATTACCTTCGCGAAATAACGGTAAGCGAACAACAATGCGGCGAGTGCTCGTACCAGCAGAGCTGTGGACGTCAATGTCATCGGCGGTAAGGACTGGAGTTGTGAGACTCACGGCATTCAAAACACGAAAACAATATGCCTAAGAAGTTTTCCCTTGCACTAAAATTTAAGTGGGACCAAATTGTAGACCACACCAAGATTAATGGTGGGATTTGTGGAAAGAGCATATGTAAGAGTTCCAATCTATTCAAAGGTGCGTCCAGAGGACGTGTGTATGACAGAGCTGTGCCGGATTTGTGTCGATGCCACGAAAAAACTACTTGTTCCCCCTACTGATAAATTGCCCTGGTAGTGGGTTGGAGCGCGCCTGGAATGCCGCTGGCACGGAGCAACTTTGATGCAGCCCAAGGTCTAAGGCATACCTCACGCGATTTTAGTCGCTGCGCGATGTGCCCCTGCGAGAACTCTTCATAGATGGCGCACTTTCCTTTGACCAGACTCGCTACGTCTGGTACAGCTTACGAATTCTATGCGTCCATGCATCTGAGAGCGGCGCATGCTTAATCTGTAAACATCTGGCAAATTGCCAAGTCGCGGGGATGTTGCTATTTCGCGAAATCCCGGAGATACCTTAGGCCTAAGGCCAAAGCTTACCTTACTTAAAGGCAGACTCCCAGCAGATCGGAGGTACCTGGCTCTAGTATTATTGTAATGTAGACCCCCTAACTAAGCGATGGCAGAAGTTTGCAGCGCGAGGGGGGGGGGATTCTCTACGAAGTCTACAAATCGCCCTCCAAGTGACCCGAATCTTACGGTAGGGCCGAACGCCGCACCAAATCGATTCCGAATTGCAAGGCCAGAGCACGCATACGCACATAGTCAAGAGCGCAGGGTCCTGCAACGATTCTGTGTCTCTACCTTGCATGCATCTCGTACTCACCCGAGCCTACCATAAGATCCTGGCCACTTTCGGGGCAAATTTCAGGCTTGGTAGACCCTCTTTTCCGCTCCGAACTTCAGTCATCGCTTAACTAGGGGGTATACTTTGACATCACCACAGAAATTCGGCACCCATCTTTTTGCCGGGACGCTGCCTTCACTTTCCGTCGCCAAGCAATCTGGTAACTTCTGGTCTGGAAAGGCCAGAAATTACCAGACGGCCAGCAATCTATCCAGATGTCTTCAAATTCGATACTGATAGACCCCAAGGCGCAGCACGTATAACTTTCGTGGGTTGATAAAATACCCAATTTTCCGTACATTCAATTTCCCTTACGATGAGTTATGACAGATTGAAGTATTGCCAGATAGTTTGAGAGTCAAATGTTATGCGGATTATCGTTGATTCGTTGACCGCACGAACTGCTCAAACGAGGCGGACCCGCCGGCGCAGCTAAAATATTGCGGAAGCACGATTTGTACATGGCGGATTTGTACTGGGGTAAGCGTTTCACTTCGCGGCGCGCGCCTCGTAGAGATGTCCGCTCCGTGCGGCCAGCGAATGAACTATACTTGTCTATTATTCTAATTTGCAACGCCCCATGTAGTATAGGGGAATACAAATCACAATCACCCACTAAGTTATGCGCAACATTACTGTTCTATGCCATAAAAATATAACTGATTCACAACTTTTACGGAGAAATTTCTTTTGAGGGGCGAAGTCACGATGATTAACCCGCTCTTTGTCGCTGAGCGTCGTTGTATGGGCTTGGAGCAGAACCAGGTATGAAGAACGGGCTTATTGACGTTAAGAATCTTTGAATGCATATTAGGCGTGTACTTCCAAATATATGCCTGACTGCAAACTTTGGCCAAACCGCTCGATTCAACTCCCAAATGTCACGGAAAGCATGCAGCAGATTATCGACGGGTTGGATTACCTCACTTGCGTTCCCCAGCACAGGTAACAATTTGCGGAGAAAATCTGAAATTATGAAGGCAGCCAACTGGTTCATTTTTGGGGTATGCGACAAGTAGTTTAGTGCTTTCTGAGATACACTGAGATACAGATGTACAGATACATATACAGATGAGACAGATACACTCGTCGTTGCAATCTCCTTGCATTATTTTGATAGAACTAATGTCTCAGTTTGTTGCTTATTGTCACTTTCCTACCAAGCACGATATTTGCAATAATATAACCTGAACGCAAGGTCATCATGTAAGGTGATTCTATGTGATGATGTGATCCTAGAATTGGGGGGAAGATACTTGGCCTAAGGAAATAAGGAAAAGGGAAATTAGTTTGCATCTTTACTCTGAAAGGTCATACTTACCATACTGCAAAAGCTAATCCGGGCAAAGTTTGAACCTACGCCTACCCGTAAAGCCTCACATTTACCACTTTAGCAACTATCCTTCCGTCATATCTTGATGTTTGTATGCTGGATATTACCGAAGGATGGCATACCATCGAAATCGTCCACAAAATACTGCTCAGCATACATTGAGTGCATACTTGAGCTTCGCGTTTCGAAAGTTGAATCATACATGTCTTGCTACAAATGCCTGAACCGACTCACAATCAGTACTTGCTAGTCCTAAGATGATGGCCTCATAAGCTTGTGCACGTCTTATTACCTAAAGACTGACGAGGGATGGATACTTGTCGAAGTCGAGTTTCTATGCAAAATGTATACTGTTTTATAGAGCATGCGATGAGTTCAAACCTACTTTCGGTATCTGCAAAGCACTCAGGGAGGAGAGTTATGGAAGTTTTTTGATGCAAAAAATTTAATTCGGAACCTCAGTCCTTGAGTTCAAATAGGGCCATGATCACTACCATGGCGTTTTATGAAACAAGGCCTTCAATCTAATAAACTCATGTCAGTCATTACTCCTTTTGAGCGCCGAAAAAACTCAACATCTGTTTTTATCTTAGCCAAATCATTGAACTATCTCAAAAAATTCCCATAATTCCCCTCCCAGAAGCGCTTTGCAGATACCGAAAGCAGATCTGGAATGATATCCACGAAAGTCCCCGCGAAATGGGCTTTTCGTGCGAATAAAATGGACTTAGTCCATGCGGTGCGATAAGATATCGCATTCGCGAATCCATTCATTCTATACAAAAATGCTTGAGCAAGCCTTTCTCCAACCTGTCTCAACCTGTTTGCTCACTCTTCCAAACTCATTTCCATCAAGTGGTCGATATTTGACTAGGCTGACCTAACATTACAATGACAATTATGTGGATTTTCTATTTTTTCCCACTTCGTTATACCTCACAAAATACCATTTGTTGTTGACGACTATGCATCTAAATCAACTCCAAGAATAAAATTCATATAATATCCGGTCCTTCCTTCTCGAGACTTCTATGGACCTGCATTAAATCAACTTGTAGAGCTCTCTGTGGAAAGCAAACTTTGGCTGGACTTGTCTGCAATCTGTGAATTAAAATGCTTATTACAAAACCTACTACACTACAACCCAAAGAGTTTTTTTTATTTGGAAAAACTGTAAATTGCAAAAGACTTCGCAAATGTACTTTATCTCTTCTTTGTCTTTCAGCACTAATGTTTATATCCCTGAGTAGTTAAATGTACGGACTATTGCTAAAGAAATTTTTCACAATTTTTCTTGCTAGCTAGCGGCACTTCATTGATTCTTGCGACCAAACTTAAAATCGCGTTTGAAATGCCGTCTTTGAGATTCGGTTTTACGAGAATAGTCAAAAGATAGCTTCTGAGTAATTGTAATAAAACGCAAATCTTTTAACTTTTAAACACAAATCATAAATTTATTTTTGGTTGATGATTTGGAGAGTTAACAAACTTTATTCGATTTACATAGGAATATCCGCATCGACCTGATATTTGGAAGCATTTGAGTTTGTTAGCGAATATTTTGGTGAATTTAACCTTCTTCCATGATTTTTATAGCGTTTGTATGAGTTTAAAAAGAAACACTTATTTCAGACTTAATAAAAGACATGAAACTTTTTCCACTCTCTTGTTACCTCAAAATAGGCTAAGGAACAAATTCTCAAAAAATCGCAACCAAAAATGTGCAAAAAGATCAAAAATGGACTTGGTCCCAGCTCACCTTGCTGCTGGGAGTAAAATGGGCTTTCAAGTCCATTTAAAATGGAGGTAAATCCCATTTTGCCCCATTCTAAATGGACTTCTGACGTCATCTTTCGCAAGCGAGAGCTCAGGTAGGGTTGAATCATTTTCATTTTACCGCATTGCCTCGTGGTTGCGATGGGATGAAAATTTTTGGATAACGCGAGCGAAAGCAGATTCCGACCACTCTTCACCGCGAACGAATAAAATGGGGCTTGAAAGTCCATTTTCCTCCATTATGGACTTTCGTGGATATCATTCCTGGAATCAGCGTTCAATGCCCTATAAAATAATTACATCACATATGGAAACGCCACTTCGATATCCTTTCCTTGTGAAGTCATTGCTTGACGTAATTGTCGATTGTGTTTGTCTAGCAGTACGCAGAAGAGCATATTCTTCATCTGGTCCTACTAAAGTTTTAGGACAAAAGAGTTTCCCTGCCTCCACAGAGTAGAATGCAGGTCTACGAAGTAAGCTGCAACTCGTTTTGAGGGGAAGCCCAAGCAATATTGCATACCGCGCCAAAGGGGTGGAGGACTATATGTCGCCGAAGTTGGAAGAGTCCTGCGCGGATTCCCTGCATGAACGCATGTCCGCGCATAGGAAGGGTGCGCATTTGTCACAAATGACCGCGGGGACCGCCCTTTTTCGGCGACATATAGTCCTCTACCCGCGTCAAAGGAATCGCGTGCAATGGGGCGCGTTAACTGCGGTGGTAGGGAGAGCGAGCGGAGTACAGCGCAGCGATGCTTCATCTGCTCTCGTTAAAACAAATTGGGTGCGGCTTGTAAGCTTGAAAATAGGTCCTTTTGAATTTGCATTGGCAACTAAGGATTTAAAAGTACGAAGTCTCCCACCATCCGAGCCGTCTTCGTATTACTTTATGGCTTTATGCTGTTCTCTCATTCCCGCCATCGGTCTGTTCTGCTGTTGATAGAAATAGTCAACTACACAAAGCGAGTGTTTGGACGATTGCATGCATATATTAATGCGTCTTTATCGATCCTCATTAAACTTTCAAACAGCTGAGATATTAGAGGAAATTTGGCTGTACTCTCTACCTTCTTTTAAAAGTGGTACAAGTTTAATTTGATGTTAGAAACTTGCAGAAGGTTTATCGTCCACTCCTGGCTGCATTCATCAACATACCTTGAAGTAAAAACCTCCCTTAAAAGCGCGTATTAACAACCATAAAGTATGTTTGAGCTCAAGAATAAAACATAACTATTTATCTTGCTTCCTGCTAGAGTCAATTATCTTATTGTTAGATTCAAGCTTGAGCGAGTGCATTTGCGATCTCAATGGATGTTTCATCTTGAAGTACGTTCGTAAATACGGGTTAATAGCTTTTTGGGGTTTATTTACACCTGAGGCATGCTCTATTCTCGAGCTTATATACCTTGTGTGTCGCGAATGCGCTCTGTTCACTTCAGGATTGATGAAGACGGCAGCAGTATTGCTATTACTCTGATCTGCGTTTATGGCCTGCGACAACATGTGTTGCAGCCAAGCAATTGTTGGCCTCAATGATTTTGCCCAAAACGGTGTTTGCCAACATGTCGTAGGTAACTATGTTAGCCGTGCGTGCCGCAGGTCAGAGTTACAGAGCAATCTGGCAACAATCGGAAAAATCTTTGAAAATCACTTATATGAGTTTGCGCAGGTCACTGGTTCATACCTGTAAATAATTGAAATATTCTTCAAAAATTTTCAGAAAATCATTTCGAGGGCGTGGCTTTTGTTTCACAGTGTAGTCTAAATCTCGGCATGAATATGCGCAATTATATGGGCACGCGCAATGAGAAATAGGCTCAGTATCAGGATGTCTCATAGATCTCGTCTGTTTTGACCAACCGCATTTTCTCATTCAAAATAGCATCAGTGCCATTCGATAGAACAAAGAAGCTTTATATGATGACCTTCTTGCTTTTGCACGAGCTTTGATACTTTGAGTCTGGAGCTAAAAACTACAAAGATTCATCTGCCCAAAAAATCGGGGAAAATCGTACCTCGTATCCAAAAAATCCTACAAAATCCTATTAGCTCGTTCCAAAGGTTCTGTTTTATATTGAGAATTTTGTAATCCCTGCTGTCTCGACGGATTTGTTTCTCTCCAATTTTATTGAGAAGATGAAGTCTATTAACCTTGCAGCTTCTATTATGCGCTAATATCAGAAATAAAAATGGAAAAGAAGACTGTTCACGCTCTGATCATTTCAATTAGGTCGCCAAAAATCTAAATTGCTGCAGAAAATCTGAACTTACTGGTACATATAATTAGACCTTTTTGCAACTAAAAAAAGTTTTTTGTTTTGTTTCATTTTTGGCGTTATCTGTTGCAAACTCCAACAAATGTCAACAGTACAAACTTTTTTCCGTCGCAAAAATTTTCTGCAGCATTCCAGATTTTTGGCTACCACTTAGAATGAATGAGAGATGAACGATCTTCCTTCTCCATTTTTATCTCTGCAATGATTGCATAAGAGAAGGTCGTAAAGACGGAGAGTAAAGAGGAAGAGGAAGAGGAGAGAAGACAGAGCAGCAAAAGCAGAAGGCTAAGCCTTCTGCTTTTCAATAAAATTAGGAGGAAGCGAACCCGTTGAATTAGCGGAGTGCTAAAAATTTTCAAAAATCTAACGACTGAAATTCCGGGACAACCTAATAACTTATTCGCATATACACTCTCCAAACAAGACATTTATTAGGTCGCTCCAAAGGTAATGCCGTTTTTTTCCAATGAACGCCACATTTCGTGGAGCCTATTTTTTTGAAAAGATCTTAAGCATTTCGATGCAGAATTCATCCTCTTTCCAACGACTATAATTTCACT